GCAATAGGGGAATTTGTTTAATCTCCCCTGAGGCCAGTCACTTTACTGGGTATATGTGAGGATTTACAGCGACTTTAAGAAAACTTTTGTAAATGTTCCCTTTAACCTGAGACCACTTAAGGGACCTGACCGCCTTAAATAGCGGATATCTTTGGACTTTTGTCCAAAGAACTATATGCTGTACAGTAATCTATAGAAAGTCAGCCTTGCTCTGCATGCTGTAAACAAGGTGCAATGGTAAAATATATACTCTGCACATCACCATTGTTTTTGATCAGCTTTGTTAAAAAAGAGTTCAAAAAGATACTGATGGCATTCACATGTACAGAAATTGTGGATCAAATCAGTCTTCATCAGGCTAATAACCCCTGTGCTGCTGTAGAATAGGTTGACAACACAAAGTATACATTTACAAGAGAGGTTCTTTCACTTCATAGGTGCACACATTGAGCTTCTTGGCTCAGTGACTTGAGCAAACCATGTCACTGGATTACAGACAGCAAAGAAATCACTCACAAGTTGCGTGACAAGAGTAATGAAATGATTAACAGCTGCATATTTGTTCTTTTGCCTGGGGGGCTTCATATTTCCTATGCGATCCTATCTTTGTATTGTTAGAAGACGTTGTTTAATCCTCCTAAGTTCCGTCTCTCCTGTCTATCTGCCCTTTATGACTTTCTCACCTCCTTTCCTTTTGGGCTGGAGCAGAAACAAATAGAAAATTCTTCTATCTGTTCAGACTATAGATACATATAATGTTCCTATATTAAAAGATATAGAACAAAAACGTGAATAAAGACAAAAGGTTATGTTTAAATATTATTTATACGCTGTTAAAGAAGATAGATATATAGCTTATGTAATAATGATCAGAGCCATATGCAATTTCAGGGACTTGAAAGAAGTAATCATCTGTCCGTGTTCTAACTGCTGGACGATATAATTCTGTTGGTTGAAAGATCGTATTCAAAGAGCTAAAAGATCGTATTCAAAGAGCAGTGGTTAATGAATCATACTCTGAATGGTCTAGGGTTGTCAGTGGTGGGACCCTTACTTTTTAATATATTTATAAACAATATAGGGTCTGGTATAAACAATATAAACAATATAGGGCTGGTATAAACAATATAAACAATATAGGGTCTGGTATTATAAATCCCATTTCAGTCTTTGCAGATGACACCAAGCTGTGCAGTGGAATAACACCCTTACAGAATGTCTCCAACTTACAAGCCGACCTCAATGCACTGTTTAATTCGGTAACTATGTGGCAAATGAGGTTTAATGCTGATAAATGTAAGGTTATGCACTTGGGGACTAAAAATATGCATGCATCATACATACTGGGGGGGGGGTACAACTGGGGGAATCAATAATGGAGAAGGATCTAGGGGTTCTGGTAGATCACAAGCTTAATAATTGCATGCAATGCCAAGCTGCGGTTTCTAAAGCAAGCAAAATCCTCTTTTGTATTAAAAAAGATATAGACTCCAGAGAGAGAGAGAGATATCATATTACCCCTGTACAGATCATTAGTTATACCTCATCTGGAATATGCAGTTCAGTTTTGGGCACCAATTCACAAAAACAACATTGGGGAACTGGAGAAAGTACAGAGAAGGGCAACCAAACTGATAAGAGGCATGGAGGAGCTCAGCTATGAGGAAAGATTAGAGGAACTGAATTTATTCTCTCTTGAGAAGAGGAGATTAAGGAGGGATATGATCAACATGTATAAATACACCAATGGTTATATAGTGAACTCTATGTAGAGCTATTCACCCTGAGGTCATCACAGTGGACAAGGGGGCCTTCTTTACTTCTGGAAGAAAAGAAATTTAATCTCCAAACACGGAAAGGTTTCTTTACAGTGAGAGCTGTGAAAATGTGGAATAGACTCCCTCAAGAGTTAGTTCTGGCCAGCTCAGTGGATTGCTTTAAGAGAGGCCTGGATTCTTTCCTAGATACACAGAATATAACTGGATACTAACATTTATAGGTAATGTAGATCCAGAGAATATCCAATTGCCTCTCGGGGATCAGGAAGGATTTTTTTTTCCCAGAAGGAGCAAATTGGATCATGCTTTGCTGGTTTTTTTTGCCTTCCTCTGGATCAACTGTGGGTGTAGGATTTTAACTTCTTTTTTTTTTTTTTAATGGTTGAACTGGATGGACTTTTGTAATTTTTTCAGCCAGACTAGCTATGTAACTATGTACTGAACAGTGTCTTTTTTTTTTTAAAAGAAACTTGTTTTTTGGGCTGCCATTTTTAATCTCTTCATCAAAAATAGCTAATCACTAATCTGTCATGCTCTGAGCTCTCTTTTCAGGCCCTAAGTCCAGCCAATGTCCAAAGCCTGCCACCTCAATCTCTGCAAGATCTCTAAAATCTGCCACTTCATATCCAATGACATCACAAAGCTGCTAGCACACTCCCTGGTTATCTCTCACCTTGACTACTGCAACACCCTCCTTTCTGGCTTGCCTGTTCATAGGCTATCCCCTCTTCAGGTCATCATAAATAATGCTGGCAGACTCATCCACCTTACCAACGGCTCAGTGTCTGCTATTTCTCTCTGCCAGCCCCTCCACTGTCTTCCGCTCTCCCAACAAATTAAATTCAAACTACTAACAATAACTTACAAAGCCATCCACAACTCCACCCCCAGCTACATCACTAACCTAGTCTCAAAATACCAACTTAATAATTTTCTTGGTTCCTTCCAAGACCTCCTACTCTCTAGTTCCCTTGTAACTTCCTCTCATTCTTTCCTACAGAAGTTCTTCCTAGCCTCTCCCACCCTATGGAATTCCTTACCCCAATCTGTCTGACTATCTCCTACTCCTAGTCCATTTTCAGACCTGAAAACCCATCTCTTCCGAGAAGCTTATACTGCCTCCACCTAACAACTGTACTTTTATTTTCTCCATCAGCTCATTCCCCACAGTTATTACCTTTTGTATCTCTTGACTCTCCCTCTTAGATTGTAAGCTCTAATGAGCAGGACCATCTGATTCCACTACTCCATTAAATTGTGTTGTATTAGTACTTTCTGCCCTTATGTTGTAAAGCGCTGCGTAAACAGTTGGCGCTATATAAATCCTGTATAATATACAGTTGCAAGAAAAAGTATGTGAACCCCTTGGGATTACGTGGAGTTTTGTATGAATTGGGCAAAAAATGTGCTCTGAATATCATCTAAGTCACAACAATAGAAGAACACAGTCTGCTGAACATAATACTACACAAACATTAGATGTTGCCATGGTTTAATTGTACATAACATGTAAACATTCACAGTGCAGGGAGGAAAAAGTATGTGAGGCCCTAGCTTAATGACTTCTCCCAGAGCTAATTGGAGCCAGGAGTGAGCCAACCTTGACTCCAATCAGTGTGATGATATTGGATGTGTTGCTGACAGCTGTCTTGCCCTTAAAAAACACACACCTGTTTTGGGTTTACTGGTTTCAAGAAGCACTGTCTGATGTGAACCATGCCTCGCAGAAAAGAGCTCTCAGAAGACCTACGATCAAGAATTGTTGACTTGCATGAAGCTGGAAAGGGTTACAAAAGTATCTCCAAAAGCCTTGATGTTCATGTGTCCACGGTAAGACAGACTGTCTACAAATGGAGAAAGTTTAGCACTGTTGCTACTCTCCCTAGGCGTGGTCGTCCTGTAAAAATGACTGCAAGAGCACAGCGCAGAATGCTGCATGAGGTAAAGAAGAATCCCAGAGTGTCAGCTAAAGACCTACAGAAATCTCTGGCACATGCTAACATTTTTGTTGACACATCTACAATAAGGAAAACATGAAACAAGAATGGAGTACATGGGAGGACACCACGGAGGAAGCCATTGCTGTCCAAAAAGAAGATTGCAGCACGTTTGAAGTTTGCAAAAGAGCACCTGGATGTTCCCACAGCACTACTGGCAAAATATACTGTGGACAGATGAAACCAAGATTGAGTTGTTTGGGAAAAACACACGACACTATGTGTGGAGAAAAAAAGGCACAGCACACCAACATCAAAACCTCATCCCCACTGTGAAACATGGCGGAGGGATCATCAAGGTTTGGGGCTGCTTTGCTGCCTCAGGGCCTGGACGGATTGTTGTCATTGATGGGAAAACGAATTCCAGAGTTTATCAAGACATTTTGCAGGAAAACGTACGACCATCTGTCCGCCAACTGAAGCTCCGCAGAGGATGGGTGATGCAACAGGACAATGACCCACAGCATACAAGTAATTCAACAAAACAATGGCTGCAACAGCACAGAATACGCCTTCTAGAGTGGCCCAGTCAGAGTCCTGACCTCAACCCGATTGAAATGCTATGGCATGACCTTAAGAGAGCGATTCATACCAGATATCCCAAGAATGTTGCTACACTGGAACAGTTTTGTGAAGAGGAGTGGTCCAAAATGACTCCAGATCGTTGTGCAGGTCTGATCTGCAACTACAGGAAACGTTTGGTTGAGGTTATTGCTGCCAAAGGAGGGTCAACCAGTTATTAAGTCCAAAGGTTCACATACTTTTTTCCTCCCTGCACCGTGAATGTTTACATGGTATGTGCAATTAAACCATGGCAACATCTGTTTGTGTAGTATTATGTTCAGCAGACTGTGTTCTTCTATTGTTGTGACTTAGATGACGTTCAGAGCACATTTTATGCCCAATTCATGCAAAACTCCACGTAATCCCAAGGGGTTCACATACTTTTTCTTGCAACTGTAATTCCAAAGGTTTCAATACTTCTGAGTCACTAACTTATAGAAAATATTGCAACCAGTTTAAACCCCATATGTCTCATCTGACAGGTGCTCTTCATTTCTTTGACTGCAAAGGATGTGTACCATACATCACAGCTGTACCCCATTTAGGTAGTCAATGAAATACATTATATTACCAAACCTATTGGGACACCCCTCCAAATCATTGGATTCAGGTGTTCCAATCACCTCCGTGGCCACAGATGTATAAAATCAAGCACCTAGGCATGCCCACTGCTTATTCAAACATTTGTGTAAGGATGAGTTGCACTCAGGAGCTCAATAAATTCAAGTGTGGTACTGAGACAGGTTGCCAACTGTGCAATAAGTCCATCTGTGAAATTTCCTTGCTACTAAATATTCCATGGTCAAATGTTAATGGTATTACAACAAAGTGGAAGCGACTGGGAACAACAGCAACTCAGCCATGAAGTGGTAGGCCACGTAAAATGACAGAGCGGGGTCAGCACATGCTGAAGCACACAGTGCGCAGAAGTCATCAACTGTCTGCAGAGTCAATAGCTAAAGACATCCAAATTTCATGTGGCCTTCAGATTAGCACAACAACAGTATGTAAAGAGCTTCATGGAATGGGTTTCCATGACCGAGCAGCTGCTTCCAAGCCTTACATCACCAAGTGCAATGCAAAGCGTCAGATGCACTGGTTTAAAGCACACCACCCCTGGAATCTAGAACAGTGGAGACGTGTTCTCTGGAGTGACGAATCACATTTCTCTGTGGTAGAGGAGAGATTACAGTGTGGGATTTTTTTTCAGGGGTTGGGCTTGGCCCCCTTAGTTCCAGTGAAGGGAACTCTTAAGGCATCAGCATATCAAGACATTTTGGACAATTTCATGCTCCCAACTTTGTGGGAACATTTTGGGGATGGCCCCTTCCTGTTCCAACAGAACTGCTCACCAATGCACAAAGCAAGATCCATAAATACATGAATGAGCGTGTTTGGGGTGGAGGAACTTAACTGGCCTGCACAGAGTCCTGACTTAAACTCGATAGAACACCTTTGGAATGAATTAGAGGGGAGACTGCGAGCCAGACCTTCTCGTCTGACATCAATGCCTGACCTCACAAATGCGCGTCTGGAAGAATGGTCAAACATTCCCATAGACCAGGGGTAGGCAATCTGTGGCTCTCTAGCTGTTGTGGAACTACATTTCCCACAAGGCATTGCAACATTACAAAACTGACAGTTACAGTTATGACTTGCAGAGGCATGATGGAACTTGTAGTCCTGCAACAGCTGGAGAACCGCAGGTCGCCTACCCTTGCCATAGACACACTCCTAAAGCTTGTGGACAGCTTTCCCAGAAGAGTTAAAGCTGTTGTAGCTGCAAAGGGTGGGCCAACTCAATATTGAACTTTACGGACTAAGACTGGGATGCCATTAAAGTTCATGTGCGTGTAAAGGCAGGCACCCCAATACTTTTGGCAATAGTGTATGTCATGGCAGTCAGAGAAGGTCAAACCAGCTCATGGCTGTAACAGCAGCCCTGTGTTTGCATTTTATTCTGTAGCCTCTGCACTGTCAGTAAACTTTAATTTGGACAGCTGCACTGCTGTGTAACCACTGCTAAAAAATGAAATTAGGCCCCCCACCCAAGATTTCATGCCTTTTATAAGACTGGTGTAAATCCTCTCCTGTTACTGGTATCATTGCTGACTTCTCTGTTCAGAAGGTGAGTGGTAGATTGGTGAACATAGGCGTAATGTTCTTGAATGTTATTTTGGCTGTAAATGAACTAGGAAGTGCTCAGTTCCGAACATCTCCTGGTTTAGTGTCACTGCCAAGCTGGATGCCTTGGGGATGGAGATTGTTGGGACATTGTGTCTATTTGGAAAATTAGTTAAAAAAAAATAGGTTTATTAAATACAAAAACAAGCCTCATGCACACAAAATACACCTGCATACATGTAAACATGCACACCATTATCATGTGTAGGTATGCAAAAAACATCTCTCTCCCTCCCAACTGCACTGTTCATATTTGGGAGTAAAAACCCTGGTGTTGGTAGTCAATATAAAATGCTGCCTGTCAAAGCAGCCGTCTCCATGTTCGCTGCGTGGTCAAACATCCATGGAGGGTGCCCTTTCTGATCTCACAAATTTGAAAAAGCAAAATCTTTCTGTAATGATTTATTTTCTAACAGTGAATGTGGTTTTCCTTTGTGAAATTACATTTATTCCAAAACTGAATGAAAGCAAACAAAATTTTGACATATTGTCAAATAACATTTGTCCAGCTATCAAATGTACAAAGAATTTTTCTACAAATATTTGTTTGAAAATTTACTAGCTTAAGTCCATCTTTAAGACTATATTGCATGTTACTCCCATATTTAGGGTGCAACATGTAACAGAGTGGTAAGCAGACTTCCCGTTCCCCGGAATGACCCCCCTTCTGACAGCGTTTTCTCCCCTGCAGCTGTCAGATTTGAATTTGGAGCTTCACTCACACAGCCACATCATTCATTCACAGAGATCAGGGAATCACTGAACTACAAGTCCCATTTGCCACCGCAGCAGACAGACTTGTAGTTCTCAACAGAGTAAAGTTGTGGCGATCACCATATTCATAGTTCATTGACACTTCCTCCAGCTCTATAACTGAAATCCTGTAGCTTGCTACAGACAAGGAGCTGGAGGAAGAGTCTGTAGAAGCCTGGCATTGCACCTGCGAACCACTGAGTGCTGTAGTAAGGCATCACAGGGTCAATTGCCCAAAAACAAATGCACATTTTTTTCTGCAAAAATGTAAAAATATGTGCATTTGTTCCTATTTTTGCAAAAGGTGAACTTAGCCTTTAAGTGATTAGAAAATATAGTCTATAGTCTAAGTACTGTGATTTACAATAGTGTTTCAGCACATGGATTTCCAATAATAACACTATATTTATTACTTGTTTTTTTACACAGAAAAAAATAAATTGATCATTCCTCAAAAAATTGTTACATACTGACCCTGAACCTAGACTTCAACCTACACTAGAACCAAGCTTCCACTAACAAATACTTATTTATGTACTGTAGAGAACTGTGATACAGCATTGCATTATTTTTTAATGAAATAAAGTTTTTCCCCCTCCTTTTTTTTACAGTTTTCCCTGATCTGTGCACATCCTGTAGACTGTAGAAACTTGCTGTAGATGCTCCAGGGAAGGCTGAATAATTTTACTGTGGAGACTAGGGTGGAATGTGCCAGTGCTTTAAAATGGCTGTTTGTGGCCCATCCTAGGGTCAAGTAGGAAAAGGGGGCAATGCTGTAGCTGAATTGAGTAAGCGTTGTTACCCTAGGAAAGGAAGCACCTCTTGATACACCTTAGTATGATTCAGCTAAAAACAGAAGACATAAAAAGGATTAATCTGTCAGCAATTATAGAAACATGCAGCTACATATATTGTTTAAGTCAAACCCCAGGCTCAGGACCCCCTCCATCTGTGAGCCCCCCTCCATTGGAACACTTTTTTCTCTGTGTCTTCAGTCTGGTCACAAGATGTCACAGATCCCCATTAAGTGTATGAAATGTCTTCAGGGGCTGGAGGCATCTCATCAGTCCACCCTGCACTTCTTTTGTCAGTCCAGGGCAGATTTATATGAGGGTTCTTGATGTCCCCGGCTCAATAAGAAGTGTGTTAAAAGATGCATGGCTGTAAGTGATTAGGTTTAGATACTTATTATCCCAATAAACTGAGGCCAACCATACATGTTTAGATTTCTCTTGTTCGCGGCTAAACAAGAAAAATCTCTTGATTCACCCATTCACATTAAACACCATGAATGGGAGAATCTTCCCTGCGAGCTGTTGTATGTAGACAGCCAAAGCCCCGAACAGTGACTGCATCTGATTGGCTGCAGTCACTATTTGATTGATAATTTTCCACCTGACTCCTTTGTTTTTCCAGTCAAAGTTAGCTCAGATGGGTGCTTCAGACAAGGCCACATACACCTTGAATTTCATCCAATTTACCAGGACCTCTGTACAGCCATAATTAATGTTAAAGGGACACTAAATTTTATTTCAAGAAAAATTACTTTCAAATATGTATTCTTAACTCAAAAATGTGCATGCTGTTGTTCACAGCTTCCTCCAAATTCCTTTTTTTTTTGCTGTGCTGTGATTTCCTGTTAGAAGGTGGCTACGATTATTTTCCATGGCCCCACTGTATGTAGGAATGTAACTAGCCTCGATTGCTCAGTCGCCACATAGACTAAGGGGATGTTGCCTAGAGCAGTGCCTATGATCAAAACTGCTTGTTACAAATAGAGGATTGTGACAGGAAAAAGGAGAGGTTTGGGAGCTCACAGAGGATGTTACAAGGAGGCAGAAAAACACAGTAAGAAACAATTTCATGTAAAATAGATTACAGGACCATTAAGTAATGGATGTATATGGATTATTTTTTGGAGAATAAGGACATTTAGTGTCACTTTAATCTGAACCTAAACCCTAAAGCAGAAATTCGGGAACATTTATTTTGGCTCGTCCAGTATGGCTGTGCCGGCACTGCACAGGTCAAATGCTGATTTTGTTCTAGGGGAGAGGACACTGAAGAAATACTCAACTGACCCGCCAATCCTCCCTGCACAAGATTGGTCCTTTTGGCTCCTGCCCCATGTGGTCCAGCGGTTTGTAAATAGGCTGTTCCTGATGTTAGCACACTTAATGCACGCTCCACAGGCAGGAAAAGTCCACAGCTGAACTGTGGGGGAGTGCGGTTTTCCTTAGGATTGGTGGGTCAGGTGAGTATGAGCTTAGTTCTCACCCCTAGAGAAAACGAGCAGCCGATCCATGCAGTGCGTGCACAGCCCCACTGCATGGTAAAAACATATCTAACTGGAGTTCTGCTTTAAAGAAACCAATTTACCTAAATCTAAAACCTTGGCTCATATTTACGATGCCTCAAATTATCAGCACCAGAAAACCTGCGCTAAAATCATACAATCAACACTTTACATTGCAGTGAGATATTGTCTACAGATATTATTCTTTCTGGTTATTTGAATATAATACAGATCCTATTAGAACAGTAAGAACTGCGCCAACTTGCCCACCCTGGTGAGCAGTGTCTCTACTTGCCTGTACAAATTGCTTGGATGATGCAGGTAGATGGTAGTAAGCTCCCATGTTGAACAGCAGCACTCCCCTACCTTTTTGGTACCAGGGACCGGTTTTGTGAAAGACAATTTTTCCACAGACCGTGGTGAGGAGGGATGGTTTTGGGATTATTCAAGTGCATTGCATTTATTGTGCACTTTATTTCTATTATTATTACATTGTAATAGATAATTAAATAATTATGCCACTCACCATATAGCAGAATCAGTGAGAGCCCTGAGCTTGTTTTCCTGCAACTAGATGGCCCCATCAGTGGGTGATGGGAGACAGTGACACTCAAAATGTGTGTTGTTTATATCTAGTCTACTCCGTAATCTCATTTTGGATGC